AAAAAATCTCAAAATTTTCTGATTGCCATAACAAAAACAACTGATAAACAAACCTTATCTCTTTCTGATAACGCATCAGAGATGTCGACCGATATGGCATTATCAGCGTCAAGATCCACATTGATTTCCTCGGTACGGTGCTGCAACATCCGTCTATGTCAGTGTGAAAGCATGAACACGTGAGTCAATAGCCAATTCGGACACAGCGAAAAAGGATCAATAGACGACTGATAACAATGAATTGAATGCGCGTGGATTTATTACATAGATAAATTCAACGCAAACAAAATCGATGCATGCTTTGCTGTCCGCTTGCTCTTCTAAATCAAAGCTCATTTTGTTTTTCATTTGCAAAGTTAGTGGATTCAGCGACTACTCATTCAATCTTCGTATTTTTCACCCTTCTAACAATACATTCTCCAATAAACTTTGATAAGCGTACACAAACTGTAAATTGAATTAAGCAAAACCTTTCTCATCAATTCCAGAAAGCTCAAGAATCGAGCTGTTTTGCGGAAAATTAGCTTGACTGATAATCATTTCCGAAACTTTAGTGCGTATGCTTATGATGAAAAATATTTTTGTTTTAAGTTATCTAAATTGAAACAAGTTCTTATTCTCTCTGTCTTTGCTTTTGTGAATGTGATTTGAGCACTTATCCCGAACTTTCAGCACGCCTTATAGCGAATGGAATAAATATAAATTAATATACGGTGATTACGATCACGATTTTTCATTTGTTTCACATGAAGAATGCCTTTTCGATGGGCAACCACCTCAGCCCCTGAGGTGATATTGCAAATGGAAGCCAAAACTTACAAAGTTTCAGATTTTTATCAAAGATTCAATACATTCTTGTCTCTAGTTCGCAGAAAGAGGCTACCCTAATGAATCATCACCAACATCAAATCTTATATATCATAGAATGGATTGAGTGTGGTCATTCTTGAAATGTGAGATAAGAGATGAATCTCGAAGCTGATCTGAAATCTGCCTTCATAATCTGCAAAACTGTTCTGTAGAAAGTGAAGAACGTCACAACCGAAAGATGAAATTACCAGCGCCGACGTTTACCGTCTAATGCTACTGAAGGAAATTAACAAAGTGCCGTCGTATTTGAAATAGCTGATACAGATTTAGCAGTAAGAGGCAAGCAAACTTCGTAATGATCGTAAGTTCAAATGTCTTCTGTGCCGTACAGGTTTGATAAGTGGTCTTTATTT